CCCCCAGGGCGCGGGGACCCGCACAGGAACGCCTCAGCCACAGCCTCGGCGCCACCACGGCCCCTGGCGGACACGTGGCCCGGCCCGAGCTGCACCTGCGGGGTCAGAGTCTGCGGCGAGATAGGTGGGCACAGGGGGCGGGGGGCTTGGGGGTGAACGCGCCCCCCTTTCTCCAAACTGAGGCCAGGTGCTCCCCGTGCAGGGAGCCTGGGCCGACTACGAGCACAGGCACAGAGCCAGAATGACCACGGCGCGGGCCCTTGCCTAATTCTACATCAGACGACAGAGCACAGCCCGGGCCCTCCCTGGGGGCGCAGCGGGTCAGGGCGCGGCACTGCAAGCTGGCCGGGCCGCTTCAGCGCGTTCAATGCCCGGCCCCGGAGGTGACCCACAGGGCGCGGCAGACCTCTCCTGACGTGCCAACTGCTCCCCTCAGCAGGGTACTCGTCCATCTGCCTGTGCTGCCCCCCACTCTGTCTCTGGTGAAGCCTCTCGCCGCCCCTGAGCCTCTGGCCTGAACCCCAGTTCTGTATGCATCAATAAATTTAAAAAAAAGAACACAGCCTTGACTTGGGGGAGGTGGGTGTGGGGTCCTGACCCTGGGGGAGAGGCACATGGGGCTCTCTGGGGAGGGGGGAGCAGGCCGGTATCTTCTTACTGTGCCGACCCGGTACGGACCTCGGCTCCCAGGGACACCCAGGGTCCCGGGTCAGGGGCCATCACTTGCCCAGCTGCGGACCTGGGGGCCTCACCAAAAGAAGGAGTCTCCCCACTCATGGCTGTTGTCGCCCTGCTTCTGCGCCCGGACGGTGAGGTCGAAGCAGGAGCCCTCGCAGGGCCAGGAGAAGAAGAAGACCCCCGAGTTCAGGATCTTCCTCAGGGCGGCCAGCCGGTCCTCCTCTCTGGCCTCTTCCTGAAGGGGGTAGAAATCGGTGGCGGTGATTTTGTAGATTTCAGCCTCTGGAATTCTGCCCACGGAGACGCAGCCTGTCACCAAAACCAGGAAGCTCAGGGAGGCGCCACCTGGAAGGGAAGCCAGACTGGTGATGGCGTGGCAGGGGGCCCACGTCCTCCCGGCACCGGCACCGGCACCGGCACCGGTACTGCAGCTGGGCTGATGGAGGTCGGCAAGATTCACTTTCCCTTTGGGGGCACCAAACTTGTAACTGAAGACCCCATTCTAACGCGGAGCAATCACTTATCTCCACTCACTCATTTCCCCACCTGCTTATTCGGGCCAGGGGCTCTTGGGGGCTGGGACCTCTTGGGGACCCCAGGGTCAAAGTGGGCCCCACCCACACTCATCCCCGCTGAGATGACGGAGACAGCCCACCCACCCCAGGCGCCCGTCTCCGGGCCAGGGGAGCACCCACGAAGACGGGGCAGTCCCACGTGTGCAGTGGGACTCCTCAACAACAGCATGAGGACGTGACATTGAGCGAGGTGATGCGACTCAAGGACCCGCTGTAATGCAGAGGCCAGTGGTCGCCCCTCCCGACGGGCTGCGCCTGGGCGGGAGCCGGGCCCCTGCGACCTCCCTCACTCAGCATCCCCACCTCTACCTGCTAGGACAACCCAGACTTCCCATGGGCTGGGGCGGTGGGTACATCCAGGAGAGCTCTCCACCTGCTGGGCACGAGGCAGTGCCCCAGCGGGAAGCCTCCCCGCTCCCCCTGGACTCTGTAAAGTGTCCCTTCTACGAAAACACAGCATCCAGATAGGCCTTGTGATACGCAGGTCCCCTGCCCGTCTGCGCCCATGTCCCCGGGAGACTGGGTCCCTAACATTGCCAGCCCCAGCGCCCACCGGTCTGCGCCCACCAGCTCACACCTGCGCCCCGCTCGCGACGGCTGTGCTCAGCAGCCCTCAGGCACACTCACCGGGCCTGCCGGAGGGGTGGGCTCGCCGGGCGACACGTCCCGTCTCACCCCCAGCCTGACCGGGACCTGCACAGCACGGGGCGGTGTGCAGTGAAGGGCAGGTGTGAGTGCTCCGTGTCCGAGCAGGGCAGACTCACTCTGGACCCGGCCTCTCGAGCCCACCGCCCGGCCAGAGCCGAGGCCCAGAGCCCCTGCCGCTGGTGATGGACTCAGGCCGGGAAAGCAGAGTTCAGGGCGGTCCAGGGAGGGACGCCCCATGGTCGGCCCGGGGGTCGGGGCCTGGGGTCACTGCTGGGAGGGGCTCGGGGTGGCGGGAGCCGGGCCTGTGCAGCCTCCGTCTGAGCCGCCAAGCGCGAAGCTGACTTCCGCTCCGCTTCCTCAACAGCCCTGTGTGGGGGCCGAGTCCCTGGCAGGAGTCCCAGGGTGCGCTGAAGACAGGCGGCATTTCCTGTGCGGGGCAGCGGCCGGGGGAGGCTCCGGCTGGGCGTGCTGCGGCAGGTGTGAAAATCCCAAAATAAACGAATTCAGCTCTCCGAGTCCCGGGTGGGGCCTCGGGAGAGGCTGGCGAGTACGGGGGAGCCGGGAGGGCGCGGCCAGTCCCGGGGCAGGGCGGCACCGCCAGGAGCTGGCGGGCACCGTCCCCGTGGCCTCCAGCACCATCTCCGGGGACAGGCACAGAGGCAGCATGGGGAAGCCAGCCCAATCTGCTTCCTGGCTGCACCCCCAGGCCGCTCCCGGGTGAGCGCCCGGGGCTGGACGCTGCACGACCACCCTGCAGACAGCCCGACACCCTGCAGACAGCCCGACACCGGCCAGACCACGCGGCGGCGACACTGGAGGGGCCGTCCCGCCTCCAGGAGAGGGCTCCGGGCTCATGCTCACGGCTGGTCCGGGATGGACCCAAAATGCAGAGGTCCCGCCTCGGCCCAGGTCAGCCAAGCCCCCAGGTCCAGTGTCCTGGTAACAGCGACTGTGGTAACGGTCGCCCTAGCAGCACCCCCTTGCTCATTTAAAAACTGGCACTGAGGGGCGTCCCTGGCAGCCACGGGGTTAACTCTCAGGCTATCAAGCTGTCGCAGCCACCACAGTGCAACTTCAATCCCCAGCCAGGGAGGGACCCACAGGGCGCAGCAGACCCCTCCAGTCTCCCCGCTGCTCCCCTCAGCAGTGTATTGCAGTAGATCTGCCTGTCCCGCTCCCCACTCTGTCTCAGGGGAGTCCTCTCATTCCCCTGCACCTCTGGCCGGCACCCCAGCTCTTGTATACATAAATAAAAATAAATCTTAAAACAAAACCTGACACTAGCAGTCTCCATGATGGTCGTGATGGGGTACTCTCCAGATGGGGTACTCGCCAGATGGGGTACTCGCCAGATGGGGTACTCGCCAGCCTGTGTTGACCGCGGCCGTGAACACCGCCCAGCTGGAGCCTGCTCGGGGTCCCAGGAAGGAGCCGGTGCCCATCCAGGGCTGCAGGAAGGCGCGCCACGTTCTGTTAGCAGATGGGGCTTCTCTCTCTCATCCCACTTTCCCCACAGACCCGCATCCTGCTGGAACATATTCTGTGCTCGAGTCTCGCAGGGATGAGCCCGTGCAGCGGCTTGATCCGAAAGCTCAAAGTGCGTCCAGAGTCTGTTCCGGTTTGACTTATCGTGACCGTGACTTGTCGCGCACAACTGGTCAAACAGTTGAAGTGAAACATTTTGCTAAGTCACCATGTAGCATAAAAAAGTAAAGATTCCTTGGAAAAGCATCTACCTTGTCCTGAGATGGATTTCCAGTTCCAGTTCCCATAAAAAGTACTGTTTACTGGTGGACGACAGCTAGATTCTGCTTCTATTTTTCACTTTTATTGATGCAAACACTAAGAAACCTTTTCTACATTAATAGACGGGAATAAAAGGGCTTCACTGAGAACTGTCTCTCAATTCTCAAAGTCCTGAGTTGTGTGCTTAAAGATGAAAGCAAAATTACTAGTAATGCTGTCAGTTGCCTCAATTTTGTGCAAGCCAGCCCACCGTCGCCTGGTTTGTTCCTTAGTCATCAGGTGATGCGCCCTCCAGGTGATGAGTATGTGGGGTGCTCTTTGGGGGCACTTACTCCCCAACACACCCCCCGAGGAGATTCTGATTCTGAAGGCACCGGATGGATGGGACGGAGGGAGAGGATCGGGCTCTCCTCCCAGGCGCCTTCTAGCAAAGCTACTGTAGGCGTGAGCGTCCAGACGTCGTGTTCCTCAGGACGGCCGTCTGCAACATGGACCATCTCTGGACTGCCCTGAGCACTGCCCTCTTCATGGCTCCTGCAGAAGGGCTGCCCAGCCCTGTTCATCCAGAGGGCTCCCGTTGCTCCAGGTTGGGGGGCACCCAGTCTTGGCCAAGAGCTCTCAGGGAGCTCAGGCCTGGGGCCGACTCCATTCTCAATCAGATTGCTGGGGTCGCTGCCTCCAGCCCACCGTGAGTGTGGTGTCGGTCTGTGATGCCCACAGAGATGTCTCTCGGGGGACAGAGGCGTGGCTGATGGCTCCCCTGCCCCAGGTGTGTGGGGAGTCCCCTCTGATTGCACCTTACGTGCACGGGCTAGCCTTTGATTTCAGAGCGACAGCATGCTTCTTTCCCACCAAGAAGTGAAGTGGGCCTGAGGCATGTCTCAGACGTCACTGGTAGAGGTTGAGCCAGGGGTTTGCAGCCAGTAAGGCTCTTGTAGTGAGGAAAAGCACACCTCAACCTTGCCCTGGCCCAGAAGCCCGGGCTCCAGGCCCCAGGCTCCAGGCTCCAGGTCCCAGGCCCTAGGCTCCAGGCTCCAGGCTCTGCACTCTGCTGGTGGCCGTGGCTTCAGGCAAGGCTCCTGCCTTCTCTGGAACTCAGAGGAGGGTGCACTGCTGGTCTCCTGACCCTTCCAGATCCAACACTCTGGGTCTCGGGCTCTGGACCAGGAAGGGCACAGACACGCATTCATGCACACATGTGTGTACATGTTAAGGGAAGGCTGTCCTAAAGGAACTCTGCAGAGTTTTGTGGACTCCACCCCCTACTCCAGTGATTGGAAACTACAACTCCCAGCAGCACCAGGGAGAGAACTGCGAGGACCCAAGGGCGGAGCTAGCAGGAATTCTGGGACGTTGGGGGATAAATGGAGCGCCATTCGGTCTCTCGCTCTCATGCTCGGAAATGGCTCTTGGGTGACTTGGGCTTTCAGCTAGTTTGTTCCCAGAGCTCCAAGTCAGCCAAGCTGGTTAGAAGATATCCCAGTTACCTATCTTTCCCTGGGTTGTTTCCTTTTCCTTTCCCCTTTTGTGTGTGTGTCTGCAGAACAACTGAATTTTAGGTGTGCGGGTGAGGACCCCTAGACAGGCAGCCAGTTCACACTGGGTGCCCTGCAACACACACACGCACACACATGTGCACACGCACACACATGTGCACACACACAGGCACGGTCACAGATCCTCACAACACACTCCTTGGAACACGCACCGCATGTACATGTGTGCAGCCCTGCACACATGTGTATGAGGCATGTGTGTGTGCACACGTGCGCCCACTCCAGGAGGCAAAGGCTCAGTCCACATACCTCTGCCTGCAGCCTGGAGGCACAGATGCAGCCACTTGGACCCACACTGGTCAGCAGTTGGGAGAGAGTTCTGGAGGTGGACAGCAGTGCCACGAGCTGAACACCCTTAATGCCACTGACACACTAAAAGCGTCAAATACATTTCGTCTCGTGTAGGCCATGCCGCGGTGATAACAGCAGAACTCCAAACCGCCAGGTCAACCTAGAAACTCTCCCTGCAGAGGGCAGCTTCAGGCCAGCAGAGTCTCAGCCGCCCAGCCCCCGGGCCACCCTGCATGTCCGAGGTGGCTGAGGCCACTCGTCAGCTGGAGGGGAAGGGCTGGCGGTGGGTGAGTCACAGCAGACACAATGCCTTTATTCAGGGCCAGCTGGCTCGCTCCTGCAGGGCCACCTGCTGCCCCTGCCCGGCATTTCTCTGTGATTGCTCAGCCTGGGCGTTCTCTTCCCACCAGGCTCATACCAATCTCAATGCCAGGTGCCACAGGTCATCTCACTTGTCCAGCTGAACCCAAAACCAGGTGAGGGCCTAGAGATCACATAGCCCAACCCCCACTGTACTTAGCTCAGGATGCAAACACCTTGTGGCCACACAGGCACAGTCTCAAGTTCATGGCTCACCTGCCCTTCGAAAACATGACAGCGGTCCAGGAGCAGGGCACGAGCCAACTCCTGCCAGCCAGCCTGCCCGTCACACCCTACCCCCAGCCTGGGCAGCTGACACAGCAAGCTCAGGGGGAACCGGCGAGCACAACATTCAGGGTCTCCCCCACGAGCGAGCTGTCAAGTATTTACCAGCACACCAGGTACAGACCCTGAAATGAGCCTTTCTGACGCGGATTATTATAAGCCACAGTTATTCCGACACCGACAAAGGCCATCTCCTGCTAAGACCTGCGAGAACATGGTCCACATGAGCCCAGGGGTCAAGCCCCCTTCCAGAGAAGGGGGCATCCTCAGCGGCGCCCGCGGTCAGCACGGGGCACCCTCCCACTCGGCCCCTGTGTATTCCGCACCAGGTTTGGCAAGATGAGTCAGTTTTCTTGGTCTGACAGGTGAGAAAACAGCCCCAGAGCGATGAGATAAGCCCAGAGCGCTGGTCTGCGGGGGGCTGGAGTAGAATCGGGGGGCTGGAGCAGAATCAGGGGGCTGGAGCAGAATCAGGGGGGCTGGATCAGAATCGGGGGGCTAGAGGAGAATCAGGGGGTTGGAGCAGAATCGGGGGGGCTGGAGCAGAATCGGGGGGCTAGAGGAGAATCGGGGGGTTGGAGCAGAATCAGAGGGCTGGAGCAGAATCAGGGGGCTGGAACAGAATCAGGGGGCTGGAGCAGGATGGGGTGGGCTGGAGCAGAATCAGGGGGCTGGAGCAGAATCAGGGGGCTGGAGCAGGATGGGG